TATTAGGTAAAGTCAACTTAAAAATTGACCTCTTAGGCAAACCTTCTCTCAAGGTCTATAAGATCCCCTAATATGTTGTAACCCATTGTTCTACAAACAACGATCCTATCATTATTGCACTATCCCAAGTAAACTACGATCCATGACAACTCAGGAGAGTACAAAAATGGGATCTTATCAAATTTATTATCATTATCTCATTTCTCTATCTTAAACCAAACTTGTTGCCACAATAAACTAAATATTTAGAACCAACGGAGAAGCTTTAAACAAAAGTTTTTTTTTCATGAACAAGAAAGGTAATTAACCATATAGGCTCACACCTATGCACGAATGTAAGAGAAACCTCGATTTTCGAAGAACTCAAGAATCGACATAAATCATCACAAAAATAAAAAAAGCGCCAACCTCAATATTCCTAAGCAGTCACAAAAGAAATGGGAAAAAGATTGGGATAAATGCTAGGGAATTAAGTGAATAATGAATGGTCCAAATTGAGAGAGGAATAAATGACATGAATTTCATTGTCAATCAATGCAATTACTCACAAAGGTATCATTTATTAAAATAACCAAATCCTAAGACCTACATGTTACAATGCAAGAAAACTTATTATTAACATAGCCAAATCCAAGGATCTACAAGTTACAATGCAAAAAACTTATTATTAACATTGCCAAATCCAAGGATCTGCAAGTTTAATGCAACAACAACAACATCATCATGCCTTTGTCCCACTACGTGGGATTGGCTACATGAATCATTTTTCTCCATTGTGTCCTGTTAGGATCAAATTCTCATCTAAATCTAATAAAGAAAAGTCATTTCTAATATTTTCTAACCAAGTCTTTTTAGGTCTACCTCTACCTTTCTTAACATAAGTCAAATCTAATATCTCTACTTTCCTAACCAGGTCATCAGAAGGCCACCGTTTTATGTGACCAAACCATCTAAGGCGACTCTCTGTACTCTTATCTTCCATTGGAGCTACTCCAACCTTTTCATGTATATGCTCATTTCGTATCTCATCTCTAAGGGTAAAGTCATTCATCCACCTGAGTATCCTCATCTCTGCAACACTTAACTTAGTTTTATGCTTCTCTTTTAATGTCCAACATTCGGCACCATAAAGCATTGCAGGTCTCACCACCATCTTATAGAATTTTCTCAAAAAGTATGCGATCAATTTTAAAAGCTCATTATTAGATGCAAATTATTGTCATATTGTATGCACATGTTCAAGCGAGCCATACTATCTATTGGGCAAGATCACAAATCCCACTTTCCAAAGTCTAATCCTCCATATCTCAAAGGCTGAAGTAAAAATACTTATGTTCCATGGAAAATATTTACTCAACAAATTTAATAAAATAAAAAAACAAAACAAAACAATCACGATCAAACTTAAATGTTCTTCTCCAGGTCGAACCAAGCAAACTAGTGTTATTGTAAAGTAGAAATCGAATATTCAATTACAATTTTCACCCAAACAATTTTGTCTTTCATTAGTATAAGGAATTCAAAGCCTATTACAAATAAAAAATATTTTCAAAATGCAAACTCGTAAGGCCGCGCCTACATGGCGAACCGTAAGCTCAATTTTAAAACTTGAACCTCAAGAAGCAAGTAGGAATAGTCGACAAGATTTATAGCGACAAAGTTCAATCAAGTTACCATTATGATAGGCATGTTTGTTGCACATTATAACAGTAAAAGCCTATTCCAATAATCATATTCTCAACAATAAAAAAATGCTTCAAACAGCAGACCCCTATGATGGGCATATTTATTATCATAACCAGAGGGATCTATTTCACTCTCAAATTACAAAGACAAATGCTTCAAACATCATACCCCTATAATAGGAACATCTACCACACATCATAACTAAATGAATTTTTCAAAGTCAATTTCTCAAACCACAAGACAAATGCTTCAAGGAACCTTCCCCAATGATGCTCATGTTAACAAAAAAAGTCAACTAGAAAGGCTATCATTGAACAAAAATATAAAAAAAAAAAAAAAAAAAATTACAAATCCAAAGATGTTTATTCAATAAATAACCGCTTCAAGATTAAACCAATTCCTTGTCCATCATCCGCATCAATTTGCCGAAATAAAAAAAAAATACAAATCCAAAGATGTTCATTCAATAAATGACCGCTTCAAGATTAAAGCAACTCCTTGTCCATCAGTCGCATCAATTTGTTGAGGACAATAAATTTAAGTTTGAACAAAGTACAAAGCTCAAAAAGAGCCAATCTCAAGTCAAGTGTATTCATATGATCACTCTCAAAAATCTCATACAAGTAAAGTCATGACATGTGCCTCCTAATTAGGTGGTTTGCTGCCAAATGACACATCATTAAAGAATGGATATGGCCAAAAATTCATAAGTTTCCAATGGCTCGACCCATAAGTTGTGAACTATGCACCTGATCGAGCATGAAGCTCTTTATTAGGTAAAGTCAACTTAAAAATTGACCTCTTAGGCAAACATCCTCTCAAGGTCTATAAGATCCCTTAATATGTTGTAACCCATTGTTCTATAAACAAGGATCCTATCATTATTGCACTATCCCAAGTAAACTACGATCCATGACAACTCAGGAGAGTACAAAAATGGGATCTTATCAAATTTATTATCATTATCTCATTTCTCTATCTTAAACCAAACTTGTTGCCACAATAAACTAAATATTTAGAACCTACAGAGAAGCTTTAAACAAAAGTTTTTTTTCATGATCAAGAAAGGTAATTAACCATATAGGCTCACGCCTATGCACGAATGTAAGAGAAACCTCGATTTTCGAAGAACTCAAGAATCGACATAAATCATCCCAAAAATAAAAAAAGTGCCAACCTCAATATTCCTAAGCAGTCACAAAAGAAATGGGGAAAAAATTGGGATAAATGCTAGGGAATTAAGTGAATAATGAAAGGTCCAAATTGAGAGCGGAATAAATGACATGAATTTCATTGTCAATCAATGCAATTACTCATAAAGGTATCATTTATTAAAATAACCAAATCCTATGATCTACATGTTACAATGCAAGAAAACTTATTATTAACATAGCTAAATCCAAGGATCTACAAGTTACAATGCAAAAAACTTATTATTAACATTGCCAAATCCAAGGATCTACAAGTTTAATGCAACAACAACAACATCATGCTTTTGTCCCACTACGTGGGGTCGGCTACATGAATCATTTTTCTCCATTGTCCTGTTAAGGATCAAATTCTCATCTAAATCTAATAAAGAAAAGTCATTTTTAATATTTTCTAACCAAGTTTTTTTAGGTCTACCTCTACCTTTCTTAAAATAAGTCAAATCTAATATCTCTACTTTCCTAACTAGTTCATCAGAAGGTCGCAGTTTTATGTGACCAAACCATCTAAGGCGACTCTCTGTACTCTTATCTTCCATTGGAGCTGCTCCAACCTTTTCATGTATATGCTCATTTCATATCTTATCTCTAAGGGTAAAGTAATTCATCCACCTGAGCATCCTCATCTCTGCAACACTTAACTTAGTTTTATGCCTCTCTTTTAATGGCCAACATTAGGCACCATAAAGCATTGCAGGTCTCACCACCATCTTATAGAATTTTCCCTTAAATTTGAGGGAGACTTTTCGATCACATAACAAGCCCGATGCATTCCTCCACTTCAACCATCCAACTTGAATTTTGCTGATAATATCCCCATCTATTTCATCATCACTCTGAACAATAGATCAAAGATATATAAAACGTGTACTCTTATTAAGGACTTGATCACCCAAAATCACAATCCCCTCCCTAGGTCTATTACTACTAAAATTACACTCCATATATTCAGTTCTAGACCTACTCAAGCAAAAACATTTAGATTCTAAGGTTGACCTCGATAATTCAAGTTTACCTTCAACTCCCTCTTTAGTCTTATCAACAAGAAGAATATCATCAGCAAAAAGCATACATCAAGGTACATCCTCTTCCAAATGTCTAATGAGAACATCTTCAAGTTTAATGCAGACATAAAAAAAGGAACTTTATAGATCTACAAGTTACAATGCAGATCTTAAATGAAGAAATATAACTGTATAGACCTACAACTAGCATGACCCAAACCTCAGGTAAGATAGCGCCATGTATCTTAAACTTCTGGGGTGAACCCCAGCTGATTCTGGAAACAAGGAAGTCCGCCAAGAAATCGATCAGTTACACAATCTTTTATAACAACTAGAATGAAATGAGATTAAAATATAGAGAACTTGCTATTGAATGTTTTTTATCCAAAAACTACAGTTGTAAATGAAAACACAGAGCAGAAGCTGGGAAAAACATTTAACCCTTAGTGCACATTCATCTTATGCAACTTGTATGTCAAATCTAAAAAAAAAAATAAAAAAAAAATAATTAAAAAAAAATTGTATGTCAAATCTCTTCCCAATGACCAGAAGCTGCAACATTTCATTAGTTCTCTGCCTAAACTACATACATAAACCAAATTATCTCAGGTTTCAAGTATTCAACATGAATTTCTGGTATTAGTTAGGCAGCTTTATCGAGTTTAAGTGATATTGAATTCCAGTCCTACAGAACATTGGTTCATGGTTTTCTTCACAATGATTTAAAAAGCAAGAAACTGAAACTAAAACTTCACAGAACTCAAACATAATTAAACTTTGAAAGTCATTAAAATAAGATGGAGCTATTTCTGATGTGGTTCAATCATGATAGCATGATCAGAAATTAAATTAAACTGAAAGTAAGACTTCCGTAGTGCCCAATAAGACAAAAAAGCATTTCTATGCAGTAGGCAGTAACCATCAAAAAATTAAGCTGATAATAAATTTAAAAGATAATTTAGTGCATCATCTAGAAATCAACTTAAGCAATGACAAACGCTGCCTGTAGCTAGAATGAAATTCTGAATATCAGCCACAACACAGCAGTTTCATGTACAATCATCAATCCACAATCAAAAAGTTGAAGTAAACAATTGAGTACCTTCTTCACATGTTAGCATGTACTTGTCAACCAAACTTTCTAAAGCCTGCCACAAGATGAAAAGAAGAATTATGAGATGCCAGCATTAGATGCAAGATAGCCTCTCTAACCAATAAAAAATCTTACTTAACCAGTATTTATTTGATAGAAGAAAACAATATAAACTAATAGGTATAATAGAAGTTTTATGTTCAGGATATGAAAATATATCAGGAATGTTCAGTAATAAACAAGTGAGTGCATGGCGGAGTGGTAGGTGGGTATGCATTGAAGTAAAGAGCAAATCATGACTAGAGAATTGATATTTTTGTAAACGCCACCATCACAAACCATCAAATGATCATTAGAGAAAGAATCATGGTCCACACTTACCTCATAACAAAAAGGGTCGGATTTGACAGCTGCTATGTACCTTGAAAACAAACATCAGACCAAAATGGATTAGCACATTGTGGCAATGAAAATAACTCAAAAATACAGTATAAAAACGAATACCAGAGCAATGACTTAACCGGATGTGAAGAGAAAAATTAATAAACACACTCCAATATATTATAATGCTAAGTCCATATAAAACCATTTTGTCACTGAAATTAACTTTATGATTGATTCCAACTAGATCATGAAGGACCATGCAACATGATTTGTTACCATTGTCGAAACAAAGACAATTTAAGTTCTGAAAAATAAGGGGTCCCACGAAAAAGCACTAGGGTTGACGATCTAAGTGCAGTGGAACCTTTGGTGTGAATAAATCTCAGCACTGCTTGTTCAATCGGAACTCGTCACTCTGGCCATTCTAATAGGGAAGAATGCAGGATTACAATTAAAATATTAGAAAGTCAAATATTAGTAGAAAAAACGCCAAAAGACAGAATGGGAGCATCCTAACTAATAATCTCATTTCCAGATATCTATCACCACTATCAAAGTTCCTAGCACATTAGTTTTGAGCTAGCAAGGGCGTGGAAAATGAATTGGAGATACGAAAACTTCTAGTGCTAAGTATTAAGGACAATGTTTAGGTTTGTGTCTAGAGTAAGTTCCAGAAAAAAATTTGTGAAATGTCAGCAAGATTTCTGCCAATTCGGATCTATGCTGACCTAGACTTTCACCCCTTTTTTTTCTCTTTCGCTGTCATCTCATCAATCCATAGATTATTGTAATTAATCTATAATCATTATTCTAAATACTCATCAATCCGTAATCTATTAGAATTATCCTAAGATTATAATGTTTCCTATTAAAAGTTCTTAGATTGTATAAATACTACACAAATGTTGAAATGAAATACTCAACACTCTCCAATTCTTCTAGTGTCAAAGCTCGAGGCTTTTCTCTTGCTTTTATTTCCATTAAAGCAGCATTCATTGTTGCATTACCATAATCCTACAGCCTTCATAGCTACACCCTATTCCATTTTACCTATTTTTTTCATAACTGCAGCATTCATTGGTGCATTGTCGCAAACATTTCCCATTGTTGTAAACTTCATCACAACATTATTGTAAAATTTATCACCAAACTTACAATTGTTGCAGTCTTCGTAATTGCATTACAATAAATAGATCTCATTTTTGCAAAATTCATTGTTGCATTGACGTAATTTTTTTCATTTTATATTTTTCAGGTGAACAAAACTATAATTGAAAGACTGAACAACTCTAAGACTGTTTAAGTTATCTATGTCGTGAACATTATGAATCATTAGAATAGAATGGACCGAAGCACCAACAAGCAAAAAGCTGCGAGCAGATATATCAATAATGATAAATTTGATTATTTTTTGCATATATTTCACCATTTTAACTGCATTTTAGATTTATAGTGTTCTAGAGTAATGTGTGGAGCCACAGAGTGCAAAGAAGAGAATGTATAATCTCGATCAACCACCAAAGCTCCTTCATATGACATATTACAAACAATACAATGCCCATCATCCTCATGACATTTCTTCTTGATCCTTCTACACTTCTCTTGGATCTTCACTAGGCACTTGGAAGTCTTGATGGTGTCACCACAAAGGTCCAAAAAAGAATATATTCCCGTATCAATCCATCCTTCCCTGAGATTGCTAATAAACATACAAGCCCTATATCACTCATCATTCTAACAAGAACGTATGCGAGCGAGTAAAACCTTAAATAAGGCATAATTAATCCTCAGGTTGCAGAAGGATTAGGGGATGGTTTAAAATTGAAAGATATGTTAGCTAACCGCAAAAAAAAATCCAAGGAAGCCTTACTATATATTGAGAGAGACATCTCCTATCACAAATGACTGAGAAGATATTCCTAAAAATTTATATGGATGAATAATCGAAGGAGAAGATAAGAAGGTAATGAGAAAGCTTGTGAGCATCCCAAGCACGAAGAATTGGGAGGATCTCAAAAGGTCACTAAAAACTCGGTAGCAGGCTCACCTTAGATTTTGGAAAGCGAGGAGCGGTTCTGTCCAAAATTCTCCTTAGGTTAAAGACTAGGTATATATAAGAGGATGGTGTCAAGAGCTTTGCCAAGGGGAAGCCAACAACTAGCTATGCTCCCACAAACCTTAATCTGATCGTTAATTACCGTTAATGATCGGCCAACCCTATTAGCTGAGGTTGAGAAAACGAGGTTGCTCCGATCATGGCGATTTCAAGCTCCATCAAATCTTATATAATATACAGGTTTGGTTTGTGTGAGCCAAAGAGTGCTTTAAAGTAGAGGGATTAGTGGTTTCACTAGCCATGGTGAACTCAATTCAAGTTAAACCCTAGCTCAATTAGTTTAGGTTTGACCATAACTGGATATATAGAAAAGGTAAACTAGAACTGGGACTAATTTAAGTTGAAATGTGTAAATTTGAATAGTAGTGATGAGGACATCAACAGGAGATTTCAGCGTGTCTATCATCGGAGGAATTGTAGATCGACGGCTATGATTCAGAGCCTTTATTTCTGATGTATTTTGTTGTATTTTATTTTCTTTATGTTCTGATTTACTATTGTGCCCCTTGGGGGATGAGATTTATGATATAGCCCCGAAGGGCATTTGAGTCTTTTGTGTTTTCTTTTATTTTAGACCTATTTATAAAGGTCTTTGCTATTGTAATTGGTTAGATGATTTGAATGAAATTTCAGCTTTGTCTTCTTCCTCTTGTGTGTGCACTTGAGAAGAGAGAACCCTAGGTGAGGATGAAAGCAATACCCGTAAGCCATCGAAAGGGTCTGGGGCTCATGGCTTATCTCCCCCTTCCTCCTCTATCTATCGGCTCCTCCCCAACATCTCCCCAAACAGTTGGCTACATTTTATCCTTTCCCCAAACCCACCGACCCTCTCTCCCCAACCCTGCCCACCTCCCATCCGGTTGCCGGTCCATCATTCCAAACCCAACCGCCATCTTCCCGTTTCCTTCCCCTCCACCACACACCACCGGCCTCACTCACCCGACCCAACCACCTCCTCACTCCCACCAGCCAACAACCCCTTCCACCTGAACCCATCGGTCTCCCACCAAGCATAACTGCCGGCCTTTCCACCCAACCCAAGATCCCTCCAATTGGCCATGAATGATTTCCTAATTTAGACAATCCAAATTTGGGAAGATTTTATATTTTTCAGGTGAACAAAACTATAATTTTCATCTCCAAGGACAATATTAACAATAACCACAAATGTTAACCCAATTTTTGTGTCAACTCGACTCAAATACAACTGAATCAAGTTTAATTGAGCACAATTAAGCCCAAATCCTTCATTTCCTATTTCATCCATGACTTGATTCTAACTTTCCGAGACTTTCCAAATCAAGGTCTTTATATCCAATGGCTGAAATCAAATCCTAGGTTAAGATGGCAACTGGTCCCATATCAAATCTCAGGATTTATAGCAGCTCAAGCATTTTCAAAAAAACAAACCTGAGGGCTTCTTCTTTCAGCCCCTAAAGAGGCAAGACCGCTAGATTAGAAATTGGCTTCACTTTAAGTGCCAGACAAATTTGTGATGTTTTCTTTCTTTTATATATTGCATATACTTCCTAATGTATGAATTGCAATTTTGATTTTTTTTTTCTTTTCAAATGTAATTAATAAATTTAGGAAATCATATGAGCCTATGGGACATAACTACACGAATGATAAACAAGAAGTATGAACCTGAAAGTGAAACACTAGACGTATTAAAAGTCAAAACTTGATAACACAGAGGTCGAGTATGTAAATTATAATTGGATTGTATATAATAGGCAACTCAGTAATTATTTTATTGTATTTCCTGATTGTAATAATTAGACTGTATAATATTATTATGTAGTTGAATTTTTATACATGTGATTGATTGGTTACTTAATGCAAATTAAAAATGCAAGTTGTTTTTAATTTTTTATCTTACTTTACTTGAGGGTGACCTAAACGTGTTTTATACGGTAAGCTTTGAGAGCAAAACTAAATTTTCTACCAATTAAAGTTTAAACAATCTACAAACATACCATATGATAACGCTTTTTTTTTCAACAAAATTATGTTGCTTATCCAAAATAAGCCAAATTTTTCAAAAAAAAAAAAAAAAAAAAACACATCATGGCCTCATGAGTTGCATGTAGATACATTCACATTAAGAATTAGATAATAAAAATATTAAATTATGAATCAGCATTTATATGCCCACATAATTAGACATCTTGGTTTAAATGACCAAGTTGTAAGTCATATTTTCTAAATCAAAATAATCTGACATATCTCACATATACATTAAGATCGAACTATATGATTTTAAAACAATTTAGGTGGATTAGCTGGTAGTCTTTTTTAGGCATGATTATAAAATCTAGAGTCATGCTGACTTAACCTAGGTGGGGTTTCAAATTTATCCTGAAAGTGAAACACTAGACGTATTAAAAGTCAAAACTTGATAACACAGAGGTCGAGTATGTAAATTATAATTGGATTGTATATGATAGGCAACTCAGCAATTATTTTATTGTATTTCCTGATTGTAATAATTAGACTGTATAATATTATTATGTAGTTAAATTTTTATACATGTGATTGATTGGTTACTTAATGCAAATTAAAAATGCATGTTTTTTTTTTATTTTTTATCTTACTTTACTTGAGGGTGACCTAAACGTTGTTTTATACGGTAAGCTTTGAGAGCAAAACTAAATTTTCTACCAATTAAATTTTAAACAATCTAAAAACATACCATATGATAACGCTTTTTTTTTCAACAAAATTATGTGGCTCATCCAAAATAAGCCAAATTTTTCAAAAAAAAAAACATCATGGCCTCATGAGTTGCATGTAGATACATTCACATTAAGAATTAGATAATAAAAATATTATATTATGAATCAGCATTTGCATGCCCACATAATCAGGCATCTTGGTTTAAATGACCAAGTTGTAAGTCATATTTTCTAAATCAAAAT